TGACAGCTTTTTACCCCATGTCTCATATAGAATTGTGAACCTGTACTTGTGGAGGAGGAAGAGCAGGAACCAAGTGTAATTTGTATGGTAAGCAATTTCTCACATGAGCTTAATTGTAAGTTTTCTCCTGAATTTTCACTGCTTGAGTCCAACTGTAAAGGCCACTATAAATAGTAAAATAACATAGTTACAAGGTGATTCTTATTAGTAACTAATCTGATATGATACATTATGACTCATTATCATTATTTCATCATTAAAAGACATCACAGAGAAATATGTGTAGCAGGTGCAGCCCCCACTCTGACATCCCTCCATTATTACATGTCCTGTTTGTGCATGTGTGTGTGTTTCGGGTCTATGTGTGTGAGAATGTCTCTCAATAATAACAGAGTATCAACCCGAGTTTCCCTCAGGGATTAATAAAGTATATAATGAAGTATATAAAACCTGGTTGATACGCTGTTAACTTAAACATCGCATTTTGACTTTCCAGGACTGTTGCCCAATATGTGGAGAGCAGTACACTGCTGAGGTGATGCCCCACCATGCAAGTTCATGTGGTGAAAGGTATTGTCACCATGTCACTAGAATATATCAACAATAATTGACACTTAAACCAGCAGAAGTCGCTGAAAATTAAAATTATTTTTTTTGTTGCTTAACACATAACAAGGGTCCTTCTGAAATCTTGGCCCAGAGAATGTCATCAAGGAATGATATAAACCCCTTTCTTTACTTTTCTGTGTAATTCCATAATTAGGGATACCACTGGACAAAGCACTTTGGTACAGAACTTTCCAAAGCAGTGTCACTGACAGTGGCATTGCTGGCCCATCTGGTTCTGGCTACTCGACACTGTAGCATCACAAACCCTACCGTCAGGGTCAGCAACTGCAATACATGATGGTATGTTTTGACTAGTCCTGACAGTTTTAATTCTTTGAAACAACAGTATGTGAATGAAAACTCTCTGGAATGCTATACTGTTGTAGAAATGCAATTCAGAAATTAATGTTTTTCAGCCTGGAAGCGAGTTGAAGTTCCAGAGAGGGCAGCAATGCTATACAGAAGGTATATGCAACAGCAAAAAGAAGATGAGCCAACACTCAAAGTGAAATTGGACATGAGAGAGGACATTGAGGACCAGGAAGCAAGACTAAGAAGCTTTTATAAGGTCCATAAAGTTGATTGGGCCCGACCACTCCATTGCAAATTGGAAAGTGAATTAATTTAACCACTGTGTTATTTGCGAATTACCTCTTTGGTTTTCCAAGTGCCATGTAATAAAGAAGTTACTCAGATTTAACTTGCTGTGCCAGATTCTCAACTGTTTCTATCACAGAGTTTCTCCTGAACCTTAAGTCTTTAAATAGATTTTATGGTCATAAATTAATGAGTCTTAATTTTATTATAATATTTTTTTGGGAGGCCTTTTTTGCATTTATAAGATATGCCAGCTGAAGAGAGACATGAAATGTTGTGAGGAGTGGGGACGACAAGCAGCAAAGGGCTGAGGTCAGATTCAAAGCCATGGACCCTGTGATGAGGACCACGGCCTCCCTATAGTACATGGGGGAGTGGTACATAACCGCCAGACTGGATGTAGGACACCTAGTTGCATGACAAATATAGCATTGTATGTCAAAGTGAGAACAGCAGAGCTGCTTTTCCCAAGTTTCCTTAATGCTTCATGGGTTGCAAGCTTTACTTTAAGGTTGTCCTTAAGTTTTTGCCCGATGGAAAAAATTATGATTTTCTGTCAAATCCTTAAAGGCTTAAAAAGTTTTTCAACAACCCTGCACTATGTTGGCTAAACCCACTGTTGATCTATTTTTTAAGTAGTTTGAGATTCTGTATGCATTTTAATTTGTTGTTACTTTTGTTCTATGTTTTAGGCGATGTAGCCATTGGAGAGGGCGTGAAATGTCATTTCTTCAGCCTTGTGATGCACAAGTTGCAGAATGGATTCGTTATGGATTTTGGCAAGTCTTTTGCACACGTATCAAGTTTGTCTAGTTATCTAGCTAGCTATGATGCCCTTTATCACAACATGTCTCAGAGGAATAGAGAGAATTAACTTACTAGAAGGTAGCAAAGAAGGGTCCCCATACTGAATGGGTGAGCATACAATATGTGCCAGGTGGCACAGGATCAACAAAAAGTTATAAAATGTGTAAATCTCTCTAATCCCCATAATTAAAAAAGATTCATAAGTGTTGTCCATGCTTTTGTTATCTCTCCATGCAGGAAATAGAACTGGCACTATGCTTTTTGAGGGTCAAGCTGACCATCTCATTCCTTCCACCTCCCAAGTGCTTGTGCAGAGTGACTTGTTCAAGGTGGCAGGAAGAATTATAGGCCACTCCTTCCTCCACGGTGGTCCAGCACTAACTGGTGTCAGCCAAGCTATCCTGCATGTGTTGCTAGGTGGTTCCCCTGAGACTGTGATAAATATGCTGGAAGATGTGGCAGATATTGACATCAGGGAGACAATACAGCTGGTAGGTTTGCAATATAATGGAATGTTTTCATGCTGCATGAGAACATGAAAAAGCATGTCACCCAATTTATATGCCAACTTTATCCATTAAGCTTACGGTAGCTGATCACTCCAAGAAGACGGCTGATGATGAAAAGAAAAAAGAGCTGACAGAAGAACAAATGCAAACTGTTAACCAGTTGGCATTATCCTGGGATCTGCCGACACTAACAGCAACTAACCATGCCTGGCTCTTACAAAGTCTTCTTCAGCATGCGGTAAACTCAAATGAAAAATATTATTATTATAGTATTGATATATCTCAAATATTTTCTTTATGGACTATACAATATGTTACAACAACATTATGCATTTCAAGCCATCCTAGGTGCAAATGCACTTGTGGATTTTGTAATTCCCTTTATATATCTTTGTATATTTGAAATTCAAAATGTTTGATTCCAAGTAACCCCCCAAAAATAAAAAAATAGACATGCATATCCACAAGCTGCTGACCAATAAAATAATTAAATCAAGAAAAATACAGGTCAGTATACTTCAGCACTCCTTCTCTGCTGTTTATTTGGACAACTACTGGAGTAATGTATCAAGCTACATGCTCTTCATCAGTGTATTCCAAATAACACCAATCCTTACTCCTTGCAATAATTAAACAACTGTCTTAAATGTAGGTGCTCGGAAGAACGTCGAGGCAAATTAAACAACTGCGCGAGGGACTGAAGGATTCCCAGCTATGGGCGTTGTTGGAGGCGAGGCCTCCATGTTGTACCAGTAATCTTTCCACGCCAATCAATGGCTGAATGCAGTGCTCAGGTATTCCATGTTATTAACAATCTTTTTAGTTTTGTACTCTTTTCAATTCATTCACATTCAACCCATCTTTTGTTGTAATTGGATCTTATTAAATGTTGCACTTAGATGGTTCTCAACATCATCTGGCCTGGAGAAGGGGAAGAGGAAGATGAAGATATGTGCCCTGTTGCCGTTAGGTGCAAAATTGCTGGCTACTTACGCAGTTTGTGGAGACAGGTATAATAGAATAGAATAAATCTTTGTTGTCCACCTGGGTTGTAAATTTGCAGTTGGCTTTCCTGATATAAATGGCCACATAAAATAATAAAATGGAAACATTCAAACTGTTAACAAGACAGACAAGCAAAGCTACATGTACACATTAAAACTGCTCATGTGATGGTTCAGATCTCATCAGTCATTTTGTGAGTTAAGAATGTTTATTGCACTTGGGATAAATTATTTCTCTAATATATTTGTAGTTACCAGAAGTCTCCATAGCGCCCCCCTGAGCTTAAAGGCTCAAACTGGCAGAAGAGACAATGAATTATCTGCTAGGATATTTCCTGCTTTCTTCCCTGTCCTGTCAGTAAATAGTTGTTGACGAGAGTTTTCTGTGGTTTATCCAATATTTTAGGAACAAGCCCTGTGTTGATAATGAGATCAATGAGCTTTTTCAGAAGAACATGGGTCTTTATTGAATTAAAGGCCAAAGCAATTTCATATCACCAATGCAGAAAGTATACTGTTTTTGTTCACTAATGAAACATTTGGTTATCACATGACTAGATGACATTTTGAGTTCAACATGATTTACTCTCAATTAAGCCCATGTTTTTTTCTTCTGGCATCACTTGTCTTGCTTACATTTTGTTATTCCCGTATTCCAATATCTGCACTCAAAGGCGCACAATGTCTGTTGCTACAAGACATACATAAAGAAGGAAATGTACTCTGCAGATGTACTATTACTATTTACTATTCCAAACTGTCTCAACAACAAAACTGTATCGATGTAACATTTCCATTATTTGCTTCCCTCTCAGTGCCTGAAGAAAAAAGAAAGGCGCTAGTTAAATTCTGGGTTGGCTGGGAGCTGCCCATGGATGAAATGAAAGTGGAGGTTGTGCATGCAGAAATCCATCATCTTCGACTTGCTTCCAGATCCTGCGCCTGCCTGGTCACTATACCAGTTATGAACAGTTTCATGATCATCTTGAATGTTGCATTGCAACTAATGATTGTGGGTTTGGGCTTATATAAGACTGAAACATCATGCTGTTGTTTGGCCACACAACAGAACTTAGCCCATTCATGTTAAGAAAATGTGTCTAAACTAATACTCGTTCCCAGTATTTTCTTGCATAGAGGCTTAATTATTTGTCAATAGCCATATCTGTTTCTTTTCGTTCCTGAAACGTTTTTTAAAAGGAGTTTAAGGGGTTGATCTTTATTTTATTTTCAGCATGCAATTCTTCAGTCTGGAGTGACATGTTTGTTTTTTGTCATTGGATGTTTTAAAGGCTCCCTCCAGACATGTATTAAAGAAATTCTTATAATGGAAAGACGAGATGTCTCTTATTCAACGGAAAGTACATTCTAATTTGCTTTGGCGGTTTGTTTCCAATGTCAAACTGAAATGAATATTGGACCAGGCCTGGCCCCAAAATAATTTATATCAAAAATAGTGCTTGTAGGCCCAAACCTGAAGACACCTTTTAATACACTCAGGCAAACGTAACACTTTCAGTAGATACATATGGAAAAGTACAATACACAATAATTGTCACAATAAATACAGCAATGGGTGAAATAAGCGTATTCAAAGAATGATGTTCAATTGAATATGAGGATTTAACATAATTCATTTTCCATTCTCACTTTTATAGTTCATAGCACATCAAGGTAATGAAAACATATTTTCAGTCATCTTGTTTAATTCTTAAAACCTTCATTGTGCCTGCTATAATGTAACCTTGCAACAAAACAATGCAGCACTGTGACTATTATACAAACTCTCAGGGAAGGGAAGGAGGGGGGGGTGTTGTCCATGCCGTGTAACCAGTGTCCAAACCCAAAGGGTAAGGGCTTACTTTACATATAGCCAATGCTGTTCATGTACTGAAGTGCAGCTACATAAACATCAGCACCAAGACTTGTTGATCTCATTGGATCCACAACAGCTTTTAGTCCTGCAAATTCCACTGGGTTTAGTGGGCACTCAGTTTCAGGAACCTGGATACCGGAGTTGGGGTCACTTTGGACAAGACCACTGCTTTCCCAGTCTATATGAGGAATGTCTAGATCCTGTAAAATAAAATTAATCACAACAAAAAAAGGACTGAATTAGAGGTCATAAGTCAAACTACTGTGAGCATCAAAGACACAACTGCCAGTTGTGTAAAAAATGGGACAATTAATCAGAAACTAGAAGGAAGTGCCTGCTCCGTACATGCAATACATGCAGTAGAAGCAAAAATTTACCAAAGCTTTGAAATGCCTCATGCAACCTTTCAGATGACAATACATTTTTTTAGATAAGTGGATTGCATGGGCTGCAGTGTCCTTTTAAATGCGTTTGATGCAGGAAAGAAGAGTAGGTGGAGAGAAAGAGAGAGAGAGAGAGTAGGAGAAGAGAGGAGGGGGAGATTGCTTATATAGAGAGATGCCAACCTGGTCACACTCCTGGGAATGATACTCCTGCCCCAAGTGCCACAGCTGATTGGGGGAGAGGTTCCCCTCTGTTGAAAGGGGATGGTCATCCCAGCCATCTGTGAATATGTTGAGGTGGAGCTGAATGAGTGGAATGAAGGCATAGTGGCAGCAAAAGATGTGCAGGCTATTGGACAAATCAAGATGGGCCTCCTCTTCAAGCTGGTGTAGGACATCATAGAAGCGGCCGGTGACTGCAGTGAACACGTCCCGCCACAACCTCTCAATTCTGTTTCAAACAAATGTGATGTGTAAGTTAATTAAGCATAAATTACACAGAACTATCAACAATCTTATTTTAAAAACAGCTCATGAAAGGAAAAATATATTTGGTATCAAACAAAAGAAACATATAAACACAAATATAAATAGTATATACCTATGCATACACAACTTGTGCAACATAAATGCATGTATGAAGCTTTACTTGAAAACATACAAACACACAGGGGCAAATAATTCTCTTCGTCAATCTTTGTTGGATTAAGTTTGGACAGTGTACCTTCAATCAATCAATCAATCAAACAAACCTTGCTATCAGACAAGGCACAAATCCATAGCAACATAATTCATGCATACAATATAGTACCGATAACGCTGAACTCGCTGTACCAGTAGTATATTTTGTCAAAGCAGAAATGGCTTTGTTTGACTACAATAAAAGGGGAACTCTCAGTGTAGCTGTGTAGAGTCAGCACTGCCCAGATTTATACTTTTCTATGTTCATGTGAGCAGAGGGGCTAGTTCTTGTTTGAGGTGAGAGCAACATGTTGTCTTGGTGACATGAATACATTTGTCTTAATCACATATATCAGTAACAATTTAGAGTTATAGATGAAAAACTTGTTTAAAGAAACTCCTTAGCAGATTACAAAGAAAATATTGGTCTATTTAATTATTGGCGTTGAGACAAGTGAACAACAGGTCACCAATCACACATTTGAAATTTGATGTGCCTTTTTATATGCATATTTATCATCACCTCTGATTGTGAACGCTTTTGCCTGCAATGAAGCTACTCCTGCCTGTTCCCTGGACAGAGAACATAAAACGAGCCACATCAACATTCTCCACTCCATGATCACCCCGGAGCCTGAGAAACCACAAACAAAGCAGTCAATGAACGGTACACAGTGCTTCTACGATACCTATTTTGTTATAAATACAAATTATGCTATATCTCATTTGAACAGATCAAGACCCTATGTTGAATATTTAAGTGATGTTACAAATGACAGAGAGAAAGCACAAAAAAATTGCTTTATTTTTTTTACCTCAGTGGCAAACCAAAATTCTGCACTGCTTCACTGAAGAAGGCCAGGGTTGTTGATGCCAGATTGTTGTTTGTGACACGTAGATACATGATCTAGATGTAAGAACACAAATCAGAGAAGGTAGTGTATTTGTATGATCTCAAGATTTTATTGTTAATCCTGCCTCATTCTACATATTACCAATTGTATGCACAGGGTCCCACATTTTTAACTTACTCAAAATGCTTAGTTTTCTTAAATGTTGTTGTTGGTGTCTAATAATCATATAATAATGTTGTTATAGGACTATCATGTAGGCATAAGATCATTCCATATATCACTACAATAATATGGCAAGTGACAGTTGAAAATGTTCACATCCTAATCATTTTTCAATTATTTTACACTCTAGGGTAGCAACATTGTATTCAAGCAATTTTTTTGCTTGTTTTAAATACTTAAAGGTGCAATATGTAACTCCATAGCATTTAAATTGGGTACTGCATTTCAACTTAAAAACATCAGATCAGAACAAAAACAGAGCATTCAGGACCAGAATCTAAAGTTAGAAGGAGGACATACTGGCTGCTGCATTGTTGTCAGAGAAGCCAGCACTTTAACATAGCATGTTTCCTTAATGTCTGATCATATAGTAAGATCACTTTATCATTTCATTCAGGAGATTTATTAGACATTGCCCCTTTCACTAACGTAGTAGAATGATAATTTCTTACAGTATCTTATGCTCCATACCTTTCTTGAAAAGCCATCTATCCCTCCAAATATCACAATGTTGTACCTTGGTTGATAAAACATTTTTTACACACAAACACTATGTGCATTGTGTACTGTTTTTCTTCTTTTTACTTACCGTATCAATTTGTGATTTGTATCGATGTGCATCAATGACTTGGGGCTTGGGACAGAGTATGTTCTTCTTACCACAACGTAGCTGTGACATCCTGAAGACTATGCTGGCAGTGTCTATTCGGTGCATCGAGGACCGTACCCTCTCCCACTGCACTCTGTGTCTCTGCGCTCTAAGTAGACCCATCATTATTCTATACCCTGCATTTGGGTTGCTGGTATGGATCACTGACACTAAGGAGTCCAGTTCTGCATCAGTCAAGCTGCTGTACATTTCCCTGACACTTAATCCCCATTCTGACATGCGCCTATGTATTGTGAACCTAGATACCCCTAACAGCTGGGCAATACATGTCACAGGTAATCCTAAAGTGAGAAGGTAGGATGTATAGCTTTCTGAAATTATCGTTCTTGGACGACCAATCCCCCCCTTCTCATGGGTAACAATGATTGTTGTTTCCTTTTTATTTTGGTTGCAGGCCATCCGGTGGACTAGAGTGAGTGCATTAAATAGATCTTGAGGAATGTCAATCTGGCTTGAGACAGCACTGAGAATGACCAACTCTTGAGAACATACAAATTCTAAAAAGTCAAGATCAAGAGGAACTCGATTAAGCCAGCTTGACAGTCGTGTATGGAGCCTTTCTAACAAGTTGTTGAGCAGCAGTAGCTGGGGGAAAAAAATCATGAACAAGTTATAAATATTTACTCTGGATGCAATTACATGCATTTTTCACATACCGCATTGACTTTATAAACAACATAAACATACATAATGACATCAGATATTAAGGCCAATTTTTAAAGACATCATAGAGTTATGAGTTGACATACCAAAACAAAAAGTTAATGGAAGTGTGGAATAAAACTTACACTGGACTGTTGTGCCATGGTGGATTGAAAAAGAGGCCGTTAGCATCCAACTCCACTTGCAGCAACAACCTCAGCAGCTTGTAAGCTTTGTAAGCATTTCTACAGGTACAAATTTGTTTTGCTACATACGTCTCGCAAAATGTGTTGCAAAACTCAAGCAGCGCAGATTCACGTGAGAAAAGTAGTAAAAGTTCACTTTTCTTTCCTTCACGCTCTCACATGTCATTCTACAAGCTCTCACATGTCATTCTACAAGCTCTCACATCACATTCTACAGGCTCTCACATCTCATTCTACAAGCTCTCACATCACATTCTACAAGCTCTCACATCTCATTCTACAAGCTCTCACATCTCATTCTACAAGCTCTCACATTTTGCAACATATCTACCTTCATATTTTTACAGTCAATAGAGAAAGCTTCTCCTACCACAGCAGTTGTAACTTCAGGGTGCTGCATCATTCCATTCATTACCACGTGCTCGATAACATCGTAGCCAATGATTGGTGGTTCTGCTACTCCTGGCTCATCAGAGACAAGAATTGGCACAAGTAGCTCTGGCTGCTGGCCTTTGTTTGATTTCAACTTAAACTTCAGTTCAACCCAACCTGCAAACGGTATGGGTGTCTGGTTTGCAGCTTTACCAACAAGAGTCTCATCTTCATCAAGAAGCTCATCCATGCCTCTTAACCTGGTGTGTGGAAGACAGGACTTTCTCCAGATTTCATTGATGATGGTTACCTGTGATCCTGTGTCCCACAGAGCTCGTGTTGCTACGCCATCAAAGAAACAATCCACAATGCACTTTTTCCCGATGAGAGCCTTTAACTTGGCTTGGCAATGTAAGGAGAGATGGCTGGCATAAGTAGCACCTACAGTCTGTTGAGCCTCCCCACTTTTCTCCAGCTCCGCCTCCAGCTGCCTGATGCGATCACACAGAAGGTTGTGCACTCAGTCTTCTGGTTCAGCTTGGCTAGGAGTCAGTGGTTCTTGTGATTTGACAGTCTGTATTGTCACGTTCATGCCGTCAGATTTCCCTACCAGTCTCCTTTGTCCTCTCCAGCCTCTAGAAAAGTGCCCTGACTGTCCACACTTGAAACAGTGTTCACACTGGTCACCTATTTCTTGCTCCCTACACACTTTACATCCTCTCTTAAAACTTGTTTTATTTTAGCGGGTGGGCCCTTGAGGGTTAGCTATGCTTTTTCTAATTTCAGCAATCTCTTCTCTAAGCAACTCAACTGTTTTATAAAGTTCAGAATCCCTCGAGCTAGTGACAACAGGTGCTTTGCGACTTTAAGGCTTCATCACTTCAGTTGACTGCTCTTGAACCCCTATGCTGGATTTGGCTACACCCTGACCCTGCTGACTGTTTTGCATTTCTGTCTGTAGCTCATTTACTTTTGGACCTTTGCTGCTTGTGTTCTTCCTTTGCTTAGACTGTCTTTCTGACTCAACACTAGCTGCTTCATTCATTTTGTCAATAAGTACGTCATCTGTCACTCCCTGGTCATCAAGAAACGGCTTAAACTGAAACTATGGTCACTTAACAGTCCAATACTGACAGATCTTAAGAACTTCTGTATGAGCTCAGGGCTATACTGTTCCCCTGATTCCACTTCTCTTGAAGCAAGTAACAGTCTCTCTTTTCACTCGATGGCTCTAAAGAGAAAGTTTTAAGGTGACTCACGACTGTCCTCTTTAAAATGTCCTTTTAATATAGATTTTAACTGGGAAAGCGTGAGGTCACTTTTAATCTCTAACATGTCTCGAATACTCAAACCTGGGCTGTTCGACTTGATCACTGCCTCCATCACTTCAGCCTCGCTGTGTCCCTTACTCAGGCCTCTGTCAATTTGATGCATCAGGTTTGTGAATGAGAGTCTGTCTTTGTGTCCTTTTTCCCCAATCTGGCCACAAATCTTGAATTCTCTTCTTATTGTCACTTCAGGGAGTCTGTTCACAGTTGCAGGTTGCACACTCAATGGGTCTGAAGATGGACTTTGAGATGTACTGTTCACTTTTTCACTCAGCTTTCTCACTTCATCCTGCAGAGCAAGACTGTTTTTCTGTAGCAGTGAATACTTTTCTTCTAAACTCACTTCTTTCATGGTTTCCTGAATGTCTCTGAGCTTATCCATCTGTAGCAGCCATAGTCTCTGTGACACTGTCTCTGCTAACTCCTCAAGCTCCTGCATGTCCGCTGCGGCTGCGACCCGTCGTCATCACTCAAAAATCTCCGTGCGCGTTCTTGTCACACCGTACACAACGCTAATCATCCCAGCGGTGCCTCCAATATTTGTTGCACACTTGTACACAAAGAACCAAGCGTGCATGGGTTTTATGATTATTCTTTTACTTCGGTCTGAAACACAGAGACACAAACGCATCAACTCAGCATGGCTGCACACTCTCGGACATCTGGGCAGCTGAGCAACGCATGGCATCACAGATCTGCTAATCAAAGATGATGCTTATGACTCTCTCACACACTTATATAAATATTCTGCGCACACACACACACAGTAAATATTAAAGAAGGCTAACTGTGGATTTCCTACTGTCACTTTTATCACTTTTGCTCACCTGAAACACAGAGACACAAACACATCAACTCAGCGTGGCTGCACACTCTCGGATATCTGGGTCGACTGAGCTATGCATGGCATCAAAGACCCCTTGTGCTGCCCAGTACAGTACTTCGTAGAGCACCCTTTTGCTGTTATGACCTGCTGCAAACGTGATGTGTAGCCAGACACCAGCCTTTGGCAGCGTTCCTGAGGAATCTTAGCCCATTCCTCATGGGTGATTTGCTCCAGTTCTCTAATATTCTTGGGTCTGCGTGCTGCAACTGCCTTCTTCAAGTCCCACCAGAGATTTTCAATGGGGTTTGTTAGGTGGGGTTTGTTTCTAATGTATAAATCCAATGAAGAAATCGTGAAACAGACTGGAGATTATAACACCATTTAATCGGCTGAGGTCAGACAACTTCATCAAACAAGCACGCTTCCAAATCACTTGACTGACAAAGTGCTGACAAAGTAACAGTGTTCACAGTGCTGCTTATATTCTGTCAAAAAGGTGCAACCCACAAATTCCTTTCCATTTGGGTGCATCATGACATGACACTGATTTCTATACGTATCAGATGTAGACTCTCTGTCTAGCAAACAGTTGCTGACAACATATAGTTGGCTCCTCTCCATATATAGATCTGCTACTACTTAGGTGCTTCGCTCATATAAGGTTAACGCTTCACAGACCCAAAAGTAGAATTACTGTGAGATGGTTGACACAATTTAAAGATATGTCCACAAAATTATCAAGATGAATGAATCCATGAAAATACGCACTAACAGGGTTCAAGTCATGTGACTGTGATGGCCACTCCAGAATCTTCCAGGACTTCTTCTGAAACCAAGACTTGGTGGACTTTGAGGTATGCTTGGGATCATTGTCCTGTTGGAAGGTCCAACGACGACCAAGTTTCAACTTCCTCACTGATGGCATGACGTTTTCTCCTAGAATTTCCTGATATTTTATTGAATCCATCTTTCCCTCTACACGCTGAAGGTTGCCAGTGCCAGAGGATGCAGGGTGTTCTCTCAGCGTATGCTTCATTCTTCCTTCTCCAGACATACCGCTGATCCATAGGCCCAAAAAGTTCCACTTTGGTTTCATCACTCCACAGAATAGAATCCCAAAACTTCTGTGGCTTATTTATATGGTTTTTAACATATTGGAGCTGGCTTTTTTTGTGCTTTTGGGTCAGTAGTGGTGTACGTCTTGGAGTTTGGGCATGGAGACCTTCAGCGTTTAGTATGCGCCTAACTGTGGAAACAGAAACCTCAGTGGCTGCTGCCACCATGTCTTGCTGCAGGTCTTTTGCAGTCACTCGAGGGTTTTTGATCACTTGCCTTCTCAGGAATCTGGTGGCAGCCATTGATAGCTTCTTCTTTCTGCCACGTCCAGGTAGTGTAGCCACAGTTCCTTTAGCTTTAAACTTGCGAACTATGCTTGCAACTGTATCTCTAGGAACATTCAGTGCCTTTGCTATCTTTTTGTATCCTTTTCCTTGTTTGTACCAGACAATGATTTCTTCTCTTATCTTTTTGGACAATTCTTTTGATTTAGCCATGTTTCTTTCATGCAACCAATTGTCACTGTCAACAAACTCCTTGTCAGACCAGGTACTTGATGTGTTTCAAGCACACCTGATGGAACTAATTGAGCCCTTGATTGGTTGCATCAGGTGTGCTTGAAACAACACTCAATTTGCAAATGTGTGCTTTTATGAGGGATTCTATTCAGGGGGTTGGATAATTTTGACACTGCAGTATTCTTTAAAAAGTGCCACTTTGTGTTGAATATGGAGAAACCAATAATAATAATAATTGTCTAAAGCTCTTAAAATTGTTGTTGTTTGGTTTGTTCATTGCAAAGAGCCGAAAGTTTGTAAATTAGGGTTGATAATACCTAATTTAAAATAAACCTAATTTGCAATGGGGGTTGAATAATTTTGATTGCAACTGTAAATGGAAGTCAGTCTTTCGTGACACTCTCTGCACAACAACAGTTTATTACATGACATACATCTCCCTCTTCATGTCATGTGTGAGTAACAGACATCACTGGCCAGGTGACACCTGAAGTTCTACTCCGCCATTGTTGCGGGTTAGTATCTTGGACTGCAAGGTGAAAACCCTGTTACTACCAATAACCCATTTTATACAGACCCACATACACAACTGTATGCCTCACACAAATCTCAGTGTCTTTAAATGTGTTAGCGGCCTACTTTCTGGTACTAAACTTAATATATCAAGTGCATTTACATCCTATGCTACATGAATTTACATTTGAACACTAACCTTAAGTGTTTCCATGTATTTACTTTTTTTTCTGTCACTACCATGAACTTAACATGTGACTCTAAACTTGTCTTTCACTTCCTCTCGTAAAAATTACTGATTTCTATGTGTAACTGATGGTTGACCTAATGTGTTGTATGTCAGTGTTTTAGGTGGGTTTCTTTGTTGCAAAGGATATTTTCTTGTAGAAGCTGGCTGCGTCTCAGGTTCTCTCTCGTCTGCTTCATCAGATTTGACCAGTCTATGGATTTGACCCACAAATGTACCAACTAAAATATCATGGTGCCTTTGTACAGGAATATCTAACAGATTGATTGAACAAGATAATAAAATAAAATATCAAAAACCATATATATGAGACTAGGGGGTGCCTAGTGTCCATGAACATGCCTGATATTAAAACGGGCCCCACATAGTCAAAGGAACCGACATCCAATGTGTCTCTACTATGACCAGTTATAGCAATGAAGTGACATATCGTGATGGATTCAGTAATCATACATTCACTATATCATCCAACAACTCTACTATCTTTCTCAAAGTCCGTTCAGTGGAATTAAACGACTCTGGAATTTATTACTGTGGATTTAACAAAGATGGACGTCCATTTCTTTCTACGATACATCTAAAGATCAAAGATACGAATATTTTAGTTTTTTTCTTCTCTCTGTTCCCATTATCACATTGTTATCTTTGTCCGCTTATGTTAAAAAAGAAAAGAAAAGAATCTTAAAACATCTTCTATCACCAAATTGTCTTTTATATTTTGATGTAAATCAGTTAAGATGAAATCCTTCTCTTATAGGCAGCAATGACACTCATAACAGCATGAACAACAACTCTACAAGTAATATTCTCCAAAAGTTTTCTTTATTCAACAGACTTCTGACATTTTAAATCCTTCATGTTAAAAAGTTAGCTGAATTTGGAGTCTCCAAAAGGAAAACAGAGTCTGAAGCAATGATCTGTCTGTGTAGAAGAGTCTAATGGAACAGTAACTAAAGACCTAAGCTTCTTTAAATATGTTTAATAGGAAGCAACGAGGACAATGAAGACATGGAGACGTTTAGTTTGATCCTGTCAGGTTTTAAAGTCTTCAAAAGGAAAATGTATTTGTTCCTGAAATATTTGTGTATTTATAGACTTACATACTTCTTGTCCATATGCATTAGAGGAACAGTATGTAAATTCTGCCACCAGGGGTCTCTCATGTAAAAACAATAATAAAAGATGATGTTGAGGCTGGCGGGAATCATGGGAGTGATTCTCTCTGTTACTTTCCCCGAAGACTCAGAGTTGACCGTAGTAAAGACAAGCGGACGAAACCAGCCTGAGAAAGAGAATATGTTTATCGATGAGTTAATGTATCCAAGTATAATATAAATTACGTTTTTATCACAGCAGCACATACAGAAACAATACAACAACTTTTAGTAGCAGCTCCTGCTTCCTTTTGCAGCAGTCTTTGACATAACATCCGGTGTTTCCAAGGCAACAATAAACTTGTCGTCCCGACAAAACACGACCTGTTACAACTATTAAACTAAGATTTCTCTGGCTTTGATAACTGTTGGAAGTATTTTAAGAGAGTTGAACTTTTTTAAATCAAAGGTCTTATATACCAACAACCATCTGCTTAAAGATCCAGAATATGTTAGTCTCTTCTGGGAATAAAAGTCATTTCAAGTGAACACATTATGACTGTAAATATTCTCTTTACAGAATGTGACCTCTGATGAACTGAACTACGCAGCAGTGACATTTCGATCTAAAGCCAAAAGAAGAGAGCCGGAGCCAAATGTCTTGTATGCTGCCACCAGATAGAGTGAAGAGGCGGCTGGACATGATCTTGTGTCATACAGTATTACAATGCTTTGAGCTTTTGCATGGCTTGTCTGGCTCAAAGTCTTCTTAGCCAAAAAAAAAGATGTTTAGGATTCATGCTGTAGGCCTTTAAAGATGTATTTGACAGTCAGTTTCTCTTATAACCTTATATAGAGTTTGATACCTGTGTGTTGCAGTTAATGTGTGAGGGATGCACACTTCACTTGTTTGACAGGAAATAACAGTAGAGTTTGGTGTCAGCCAAACTATGAGTTAAACCACAGGCTTTTAAAAATAAATCTGAATGAAGGTATTACAGCTTCCCAAGAAAGAATTCTGAGCCTCTCTAGATTCATACAATGTGGAAAACATACAGTATATCAATGTCTAAACAGAATCTTTAACTGTGATAGTATATTAACATGTGAAATGAAATGCTGTGTGTATGAGGCAATAGGAGATAGGACCCAAAAGCAGACTCCAAGGTAGGACAGGTCAAACAAAGAGGACTAGTCTTAATCAATGTAAATCAACTAACAGCCCACAGTCAGGAATTACATTAGAAGTCAGACCAACCAAGGAAATAAAGAGGCAAGATCCTCAAAGAAAGGCAAGTTCAAAATATAGACTGTATATAACGTAGATGTGGTCTCAGTGACATCACCCATTGGTTTCTGAAGAGGTGTTTGAAGCCCAAAGATGGTGGCCACCATATTGGAAAAGCTGTCTCAACCATACTCTCGATCAATCTTTAAAACAAGCAAAAAGCTGGAGTTGAGTCCAGCATTTAGCTTCCTGACGAAAAGATAAAACGCATCCACCTGTCAATCAACTAAGCGCCATTAATTGTGTGAATGTATGAATAACTCTCAGCCTTAGTTTAATCAAAACAGTTGATGAGTTGTAAAAAATGTCGCCCCTGTACAGCGTGGGCCAAGAAACAAGTGTGCTATCAATATTACTTCTTTTTTTTACCAGGCTGTAAAATGTGATATTCTGCTGTTTTCATGCTATTTTTAAATATGCAGCATTAGTGTTCAGAAAAGGGAACATTGTCTTCAGCACTTCTGGCTGCAGAAGTGCATTAGTGAGAAACACGTGTTTGACAGGAAGAGAGCACAGTGTCGTCTGGGGTGGCAAAAGCCATGAGGCCTCTAAACCCCAATTACTGTGAAAATAAAGTGTGAAGTGAAGCAGCATGTACTGTATTTCACTGTCTTTTGTTTAGGGGGTGCAATCAGCTTTTCTACACTCATAGTAAAGCCATCAAAACACATTAGGTATAAAAAAAAAAGTATATGGACTACATATCTTAATTGTTGTCACAGTTCATGTTGAGGATGATTAAAGTAAATCAGCAGAGAATGTAATACTTTTAGTTCAGGATTTGAATCTATCTGCTTTTTTCTGTCCGAGTAGGAGTGACAGCCAACCTTTCTTGACTTGGGAACTTGGGAAGCGTGAATGGAATTGGAGTTGAAAGGTGACATTTAGAGTTCATATAGCTGCATTTGCATGAAGTATTCGTATTGTAGGGATTAATAAAAGCAATGAAGTTCCAAAGGGATCTATGATTGCAGTCTGTCTCCTTTGCTCTCCACGCACATGGTTCTCCTGTATACAGACAAAGCCTTCCTGATTCTGAAAAAGTTGACAATGCTACCAGGCCTGCCAACGTAAACATAGTGATTCTGGGCATTAGTCACAAAAGGATTGTGCAGCTTAACCCTGTGCAAATGACACAAAGGGACATGGTATGATTTAGAAAATAGACAAAGGGTTAAATGTTCTACAAACTGCATCTTTGAGCTCCAGTGCTGTTTTCATGTATTTTAATGAGCCATTATTCATTGGTGACCATTTCTCCACAAAATGAATCTAATTCCAAAAAAGCATCAGATTCACAAACATTAACAGCCAAGTCAATCAATCAATTCTGTCATCTCGAGACACAGGTAAAAGACCTTAGTCTTATTGTTATTAAATATTACAAAAGAGCAGGTAAAAAGACCATCCTCATCATGTTACAAAAGGCAGGTAAAAGACCTTACTTATTGCTAGATTACAAAGACCTATCTTAATCCATCGTGAGCACTTTAGCAACATTTTAGCAAAAGTTACAGTGGCAAGAAAAAACTGCCTAAGAGGCAGATATCTTGAGCAAATCCAGGCTCATAACAAAACAGCCATCTACAGAAACTGCTCCGGGCTTGAAAATGGGATAGGGGGAGATGGGATAAGATGCATGAAGAGGGATAGGGAACAAGGAGGGGAGTCGGTTGTTTAGGCAGGCTATCTACCAACGATCCAGAGGAACCTAAGAGATGTCAGGAGCTCCCCAGTGCAGTTAGAGATAAATATTACTGTCATCTGAGAGGTGTGGCATTAACTGCACCGTAGTATTTAAAAAGGCTCTCAACTTTGATGGTGATCATGAAAACAATTCCACCTCTGAATGAGGTTTTAAAAATTAAACGTCAGTAATTGTATAATACTTTGACGCAACATAATAACACGTAAAAAGCCTCATGTTCCCCAAAGAAAACAAAGAGTTAATGAATTGAAAAGATCTTTTTAAACTGGGTTAGAAGACATGAGAGCGATGAGAATCTAATCACACTTTGCGCACACTTGCACAGACTCAAATCACTTCTCTCTTGCCTGTTGCAAGGTGACGCATGCACGGCCTCATATCAAAGCAGTCACTCTGCTGAAGGCTGAATGTTCAGAAGAGGTGACAGACAGCAGCAAAACCACAGCAGGTGAAGTTCACATTCATTTCCACTGTCATGTAAAACTCAATGTACTAAGCATTGCACACATAAATCTGGCAGGTGCAATTTCAACTGCTATGATTGATACATCACTGTACAGCTATTTGGATTATTTATTCTGATTGGTCAATTAAAGCCCTCCACTGAGATTTATAGAAGACTGCTGCATACTGATCTGATGCTACAGACACAGTTTTGGTTGCAGATTACTTCTGTAACGTAGATGAAGACAAAGCAAACCAGTCGTCAGGCGTTATTCAGAAGATTCCAGGATTGTATTTCAGTTCAGTATGTTCTGCCTCTTCAAGTCCTGCAAAAAAAAAAAAAAAAAACAGCATTTTTGCAGATACTGGGGTTTAGTAAGCTTGAGGTAGTTGGATCATCTTGTGTTCCTTTCTGTCTCTTACTGTCTGTGTGGAGAGCGGTGAAGCTGGGGAGATTAACTGGAGGACTGACACATGAAGCAAAAAATAAATTAAAAAAACTGAATGAAATATGTGATCTATCTTTGTCAAAGTCAGTCTGAGAAACTGGATTGACAAAAGGACGCTCCGCCTCTTCACACTGAGCCCACCTTCACTGGGGCACCGTTGAGTAACAAACATTTCAGTCGTGCATTCATACTGTACGTACAATGATGAGCCTTACCTTGATTGCAGCTTTACTCTTCAGTAAGTACTGAGTAGTAGTCTGTTTGTTCTTTTTGTTTCTTTTAGTACAAACATTTTAAGCTTTCTTACAGTTAACTACAAATCGTTTTTCATGTTGTCCCCCTTCAGGTCTGCTGTCTGTCTCAGTGTCTGAGTTTCACACCGTGGATGCTCAACCTGGTGAAGAAGTCACACTGCTGTGCTCCAATTTCACCCTTTTCCCCTTGCACATAACCTGGTTCAGACTGAACAGCACATCCAACACCAGCAGAATCTCCTCTCTGTCCAGCGCCGATAAGAAAGCTTTTTTCTTTGGTGAATTTCAAAACAGCAGCTTTGACGTGACATCCAACAGCACTCATCTGTTTCTCAAGATGAAACAGGTGGATTTTAGTCACTCTGGACTTTATTTGTAAGTGCAACGTACTTCAAAGTTCAAGGTAAGATGGTATTTCTTTGTTGCCTTTTTTTAATCGATGGAAACAGATTTTTATACAAAATAATGACATGTCTTATAATTTCTCTCGCAGAAGCATTCATTGGTAGAGACAGCTATCTGAATATGATCCTGGGTGCTCTGGTTGTTTTCCTCTCTGCTGTCATCTTTACTCTGGTTGTACTCATCAGAAAACCTCAAACAGGTTGTGCTATCATTTGGACTGCAAATGCAAAACTTTCTGTGTGCCACAAAGTGTTAACAGTAATATGAAGCAGCAGTTTATTGACAGGATGTTCTGCTTCTGTCATTTAGCGCGTAAAGAGGACCAGGATCCACAGCAAAGTGAGGTATTACATTTTTTGGCTTAGATTAAAGGTGCACTATTTAGATTTTGTAGTGAAATTTGAACGTTTGAAAAGTTAAACAATTTTTATATTTTCTGAACTAAAGACACAAACTTTATACCCAGGAAAAAAAGGGTGTCTGGAACACTGTTTGGAGCTAAAAAGCTACCAGGATAGTTATGTTTTCAATGTTGCGGGCCCACCACCATAACTTCCCGCTTAGCATTTTATCTTCAAACAGTGTTACAGGGACCAAATGTTCCTCTGATGAGTTTGTGTAAAGAGTTATGAACATATACCACCTGTACACTTCTCCAACTTTCACATTTCTCTACCAAAACTCCACAGTGCGCCTGTAAGTTTGACTGAAGTCTATTTCTTTACGTTTTCTGCTTCATTTATCTTTTCATGTCGTGTTTGATTTACAGAATGTGGCTTCTGAGGACGTGAATTACGCAGCGCTGAGTTTTCATCCACAAGCAAAAAGCAGAAGAAGGCCTGCAGCTGAAAACGAGCTGGAGACACATGTTCTTTATTCAACAACCAGATAGACTTTCCAAATCTGTTTGGTTTCAAACTGTAAGGATAGAGTTTCTCTCCATATACCATTGTCAACTCTCTCTTTTCTTTTGAAGTTTGAATCTTTGGTCAAAGATTACAGCAGCCAGTAAAGACATGGATGTCCTTTGTACTATTTTCTTTATTGCATAACAGCACTGTGCTTTAGATTTGCTGAAAATGAAACTTGATTAAAACACAGCAGGAATTTGCATGGGGGACACACAGGCAGGGAAGAGTTGGTGTTCTATCTGCATACAAGACCCTATCCTCTGCATCTGGGATGCTAACCTTTTATGTGTGAAGTGGATGGACCCCAGAGAAGTGTCCATGTGCACCATTGTAAAGTTGGGAGGCATGGAGTACAAAGACCAAAAAGTGGGGAAAGGGGAGCTAAAGCATTTACCAATAGCACATTGTATGACATTATTAGAGTAAAAAAAATGTTTTAAAAAAAATCCAGGCAGCCTGTACAAGGTTTAGTTGTTAAAGTTAAGAAGGGGGGGGCTTTTCAAATAAAGTATGTAAATTGTTGAAGTTTGAATCATATTAAAACATACAAATACAACTGGTATGTGGTTGTTGTGTTTTAAAGAAAACATCTCTGGCTTTTTTGTGTCTGTCAGAGGTCTCAACCACCGAAAGACTGGCCTGCAGTTGCATGCTTATGCACCAGTGTCTGACTTGCAAGCAACAGCAATTAAAATAGGAAATTAATTTCATCTTATCAAACCATCCAAACCACCAAGCTCTGAGCTGTACATGTTCACCACATAAAGACCACTGCAAAAGTCAGTTCCCATGCATCTACAGTACCACTATCACATGCACCCAGTTTCTCAGTACAGCTGTGAGTGTACTAATAAAAAGCTTCACACCACAACAACCAGCTTTTGAAAGCACCCTTAGGCTTATTTTAAAACTGAACCTTTTTTTTACTTTTGTTAAAGACTTACTGATGTCTGATCCAAAAGTTGAAAGTCTCTTTAAGCTAGGTCTGATCCTAGCTACTGATATTCCTGATCATTTATTATTGCAAATTTAAGTCAACCAGTCTTGAAAATCTGTCAAAATCAAGCACTTTATATGTATCATGGCTAAACACGGTTTGAATGTGTCTGCACATAAAAGATGTCAAAGTGTTGTGCTGGGTGTTGCTGATGTTAGCAGTGCCAGCACCTCCAGCCTTCAGTCCTTCCTGTACTGGTTATCTGCCATTTTAACTTATATAACAATTACTGACTTAATCTTAATCTGTGAATAGAAATATCCCATTTGGGACAATAAACTATCTATCTACATAAAACTTTATCTCCATTTACGTTAACAAACCCCTGCGGATACGCTCCATAACATGAGATGCTGTCCGGCCACTGTGCTTGTTTACATCCAGTTAGTAGAGCTTTGGCAGTAGCCATTAACCAGAGCTGAATTTTATGTTGACTGAGATGCTGTTATGTACGATACATTTAACAACCTCAAATCACATAGTTAGAAGGCCATTGATAATTTGGCATTTATGGTTTGGTCATTTTTATAACCTCAACAAAACGTGTGTATGATCACACAACCTGATTTCTGCTTCATTTGAAGATCCTTGCAGTATATATCGTCTTTTTGCATCTTATTTAAAACATATGAAGGACCTAAGCTAGTGAAGAAACTTTAAATGGTGTAACGTAAAGTTTAAGAATAAGACTCATTGGATTTAAAATAGCCCCAGCATGTTATTTCCTGAAAACAACTTCAGTAAATAAGCTGCAGTATATTCTAAACGTAAAAGAATAGGAATTACACTTTATTTTTTTGGATATTATGTGGCATAAATCCACAAGGTCGTTGTTAGGTGGCGCCATCGGAAGGGCGACCACGTGGGACGAAGCAATCTCCCCTTTTCCCCCTCCTCTCTCTTTCATTCACACACACACACACACACACACACAACTACACTTTTACACCTCATCCACAAGCCTTGCTTGATAATGTTTGTTTGCTTAGATTAGTTTATAACAGTTATTGGTTTGATTAAGTTCATTGATTTTGGATTGATGTTGCTTTGTTGAAATAAATTTTAAGAGAGCAGTTGTTTGTGATTACTGGTGTATTTGCATTGTGATATAAGCTGGCTTTGTGTACGGATTTCATGCCTTCAATGTATTAAATATAGTTATTAATTATTAATAATATTATTAATTAAGTAACTCATTTGAGACTGATTTGAGTGATATTTTGGTTATATTTCCCTGATTACAGGGTGGTGCCCCAAGAGAGATTAAACATAGTTTAATGATATTTTTTATTTAGATTATTAATAATTATATATAATATAATTATTAAAGAATATAACCAAAGTTGACTTGATACAACCCTAACATAGGCCTACATCACCACAGCAAAGTCAGTTTCCATCTGTGTAATGAAATTTCATGAATTCATTCCTCTTGATAATTTTGTGGATATATCATTTAATTCTGTCTTCCATCCAAGGGTAATTCTTCTTTTAGGTCTGTGTAGATGTAATGTGTTAGAAACCTCATAGCAGCTGAGCTATACTTGGATTGGAGCCAATTGTATGTTGTGAGCTTAAAAGGAAATTTGATTCTCTGAGGAAGGAATTTGTAGGCTCTTCCTTCCAACAATATAAGCAACACTGTTAACATGAAAACTCTGTCATCAGTTTGTGTTCTGTTGTGTTGTCAGGCCACGGCCGAATAAATGGACGAAAGATAATCTACAGTCTGTTCACGATTTTCTCATTGAACATTTACAGAACAGAAACACCCCCACCTAACACCATCCATCTACACTAGAACTATCACATGCACTCAGTTTCTCAGTACAGCTGTGAGTTTTGCTAGAATGTACTAGCTTCAACCCACAACAATCAGCTTTATAAAGCTACTCATCATAAAAGCAGAGGAAGGCGTGCAGCTGAAAACGAGCTGGAGACACATGTTCTTTATTCTTATTGTAAAAACTGAACCTGTTTTAACCACAGTTAACTTTTGTTAAAGACCCTGGAAATTGCTTCAAACTAATGTCTGATCCAAAAGTTGAAAGTCTCTTTAAGCTAGGGCTGATCCTAGTTACTGATACTCCTGTTCATTAAAAAATTTAAATTTAGTGTCTTAAAAAAAACTGTCAAAATCAAGCACAATACAAACAAACATGGCTAAACACTGTGATTGTGTCTGCACATAAAATATGTGAAAGTGTTGTGCTGGGTGTTAGCAGTGCTAGCACCTCCAGCCTTCAGTCCTTCCTGTACTGGTTACACCTTGCCTTCACAGACTGGTTATCTGCCATTTTAACTTGACACAATATATGCTTCCTTGCAGGAGGTCTGTTGTATAAAGAGAGACCTCAGTCACACACTAACTAGAGCACAATGAGGAACAGTATCTTGATAACAGCTTCACTTCTCGGTAAGTGGTTAACTCCTCACCTGTGACTGAAGTCATTACTTTTAAAACAATAAATAAAACAAAAAGTTTGAAATCCTACTATCTTGTCAGCTTAAGGATTAACACTTCTGTTTGTTTCAATTTGGATCTCTGTCTCAGGTTTGAAGTCTCAGACTGTGGGGGTCCAGTCTGGTGATGAAGTCACACTGCAGTGCTCCAACTTTTCCAGTACTTACACACAGATCATCTGGTTCAGACTGAACAGAAGTGAGCCTCGCTGCATCTCCCATATGTTTAGGTCTTTTGAACCTGCTACATTCTGCAGTGGATTCAAAGATGGAAAATTCAACATGACATCAAACATTTCCACTGTCTTCCTCAACATCAAACAAGTGGATTTGTCCGACTCTGGACTTTATTTTTGTGGATATTATTGAGCAGATATCCACTGATTGTTGATGCAACATTTTTAGAGGTTCAAGGTAAGTTCCCTTCAAAGTTTGGTCTGTCTTTTTATTGATGCAGTCCCTGAAAAAAAAGGATTTTGATGGCATCAGCTTAACTTTAGATACAATTTTAAGAACTTAAAGATATGGGCCTTAAAACACTTGTGATATACTTTAAATTTTGTGTTCTTCCTGCCTTCCTGTCATGTTGTTTGGTCCATTTAAATATAAATCAGATCTCAAGCAACTCAAGGTCAAATGTACAGTGTCTAATTATATTTTTTTTGTAGAAGTGAATTATAAATGACAAAGCTGGTGATCGTGGTCCTGGTCGGTTTGGTGGTTGTCATGGGGATGATCATCATTTGTCTGTCTGTTAAAATCAAATGGCTTCACAAAGGTAATCGTATTTAGTTGATTTAACCTATATGACAGACAAAACCATATAATCCTATTCTACAAACTGCATCAAAACAGTGCTGTGCCATGTTGTACATGAAGTTACCACACATTGTTTCCCTCATGTAGCTCATATTGAAGAACAGGACCCACAAC